GGACCAGGAGCGAGAACATAGATTACCTGTAAATGAGCATGAGGAAACTTTCTAGGGTAAGGAAAGTGGGTAAGGAATGTTTTAAAAGTGGGTTGTGGTGTTTGTTACACACTTACATTGGCTGAATTTTGTAGTATGTAAATTATCCCTCAAAGGTTGTTTTTTTTTTTTTTTTTTAATTCAGCCTCTTCAGGGGGAAAGGAAAAGTAATATCATTTGCTTTCCACTTGGTAAATACTACTACTACTGCTACTGCTACTACTACCAGTATCCCAGAAAAAGTGTGAAAGATAAACACTCAGACCCAAATAGTTGGTATAAAAGTAGGTGCAGACTTTCTGAAGGTAATTTGGAGATATTGCCTCCAAAACTTCAAAATGCTCATATATTTCACTCACTCCAGGGGTAAATCTAATGAAATAATTGGACAAATATGTTCACACAGAGAGATGTTTATCTCTTTACTGTTTGTTTTTTTTTATTTTAAAAATAAAAGGAGGAAAACATTAACAGACAGTCGACATTTTACAAAATAGCAAAGGAACAGTACAGACAGTACGGAGTTACAAACAAAGTGGTAGGGAATTAACAATGCTTCTTGTATTACATATTGATATCTTCAAAGTGGTTTCTCATGAAAACAGATATAGACATACAAAGCTGATCAACCAAGGACTCATTGACAGTTTCTTTCAAAGAAATACAAGACAGTAGAACAGCCATGTTAACTATCCTGCATATACATACATACAAACTTTCTCCTTCTTTGCCTTCTCTTTTCCCATATCCCAGTTATCCTTTACCTTTGAGTGCTTTCCCAACAATTTACAATGTCTATCATATCTCCTAGTTTAAATTAATTCTTTCAGGCTTTACACTAGAGAAACAATGCAATGTTTGCACATGTATGTTTGATTTATTTCACTTATGATTATGGTCTCTAGTTGTGACCATTTACCTATAAAAGCCTCAAGTTTATCTTTCTTTACAGCTGAGTAATATTCCATTATATAAAAGTACCACAATTTTCTGATCCAATCCTCAGTGGATGGACATTTGGGTTGCTTCCACATTTTAGCAATTACAAATTGTGCTGCTAGGAACATAGGTGCACATACATCACTGTGATATGATGTTTTTAGATCTTCTCTTTACTGTTTGTAATAGAATTAGGAACAACCTAAATGTTCAATAATAGAAAATAAATTATGAAGTATCCAGCTCAGAGAATACTGTAGAGTTGTTTAAAATGATGTTGATGTATATAGGTAACAAATGTCAAAAAGATGCTTCTAAGTGAGATTACAATTAAATATGCATGGAATTTAAAACATTTGTTTACACATATGCGTGGAGAAGGACTAGAAATGTAACAAATACAGTCACCAGTTACCTCTGGGCACAGCTTTTTAAATTGTCTTTTCTTTATATATCTAAATTTCTAAAGTAAAATGTTTCATGTTTTCTGGGGAATCAATTAAAGTTTTTCTTAAAAACTAAAACAAGAAAAATCCTGAAATAAATAAAACTATATATTATTGGGTAGTAAGATAAAAAATGATTTTTATTCTTGATTAGACTTTCCCCCAACAGTTTTACAATCATCACACTTTGGCTTTAAAGCAAAAGAAATGAAAATTAATTGAACGGCAAAGTTAGCTATGAAGTTAACCTCATTCATTCATTCCCCACTCAATGGCCAGCCTAATGCTCAGTTCTGTGGTGTAAGTTTTAATCCAGGGTCAGAGAGACAAGCACCAAGACAAGGATGCTACCAAGTACCACGTGTACTGCAGGATGTACTGCATGTTCAAAGGTGTGACACAGTGATAAGGGAGTAGGGCGGGTACCACAGAGGAGCCAAATTTCTGTTAAGTGTTGGAACATGAGTAGAAGTCTAATAATTTTAGAACAGGACAGGGGAGTGGTGGCAGGGGATATTTCAGACATGGGATGCCGAAAGTGTAGAAAAAGAAAAGATGGAAAAGATGCAGAATAGAGGGGACAGCCCTCACAGGAGGGAGGAGATGTGGTAGGTAGACCCTGGCACGCTGGGCTGCAGAACTCTGGGTTTACCCCTTCCAGACAAACATTTTCTAGATCTCTGGTCTTACATGTCTGTGATGTAAACATTTCTGGCCTAAATAGGCTCAAAATTACATGCTTCTCAAGGTATAATAGAATATTAAAGACTTTGTGAGGCTCAATAATAATAAGTAAATAAATGGATAATTAAAAACAAGGAAAGTATCTATTCTATTTAACATAGTATGTACAAAATTTGTTTGCTAACAAGATCCTTTCCTTTTATAATGTTTATTAATACAGAAACTAATGTTTTCACAAAAATGTACTTTGAGAAACACTGTGATACACAACATATATGGATTTGAAAGGAGAAAGAAAATAAAACCTTTTCCTCATTATAAACATAATTACATACTAATTTTAGAAAAATGGAAAATATAGAAAAATATGAAGAGTCTAAAGTAGGAGTTCAATATCACCCTTAAGGCACTGAACTATTTTACTCTGTTCACTGTTTTTGTCACATATTCTGTCAGATAGCCTCTCACGTGACCTACATGTCTCTTACACATATGTTTTCCTTTTCTTTTTTTTTACACATATATTTTCAACACCTTTATTTCACTCTGCTTCAGAGTTCTTTTGACTTGATTTCTAGTTTAGTAATTTCTCTATTCAGTAATTTCTAATCTACCATTAAAATTAGTACTGACTCTTAATGTCAGTTATTTATTTTTAGTTCTCAAATTTCAACTTTATTCTTTTTTAGGTTTAGCTAAAATTCTCCATCTTATTTTTTAATCACAGTTACTTAAAAGTCTATGCCCAATACCTCCAATATGTGGGTTTCCTAGAGGTACTTTTTTCTCTTTTTTTCTTGTAATTTTTAGTACATCTTAATCTTTTATTTGCCTGACATTTTTTTTATTAAATTCTATCCAGTATATTAAAAATTGTAAAATAATTTAAGGCTCTGGATGATGCTATCTTCCTGCATAGAGGATTTACTTTTGCTTCTGGCCAGCAGTTTGGCAAGTGGGAAATTACCTTAAACCAATCCAGGATTGGGCTGACTGGCTGCTGAGCCTCATTCTTTGTATTTATTGGTGCATTTCTGATTCAGTTACTCTGGGGTTGCTATGGTTTGTGTCTGGGTGTCCCCCAAAAGCCTCATGTGGCCATGGGGCAGGCTTTTAGAGTTTGATTATGGGTGTGAGAGCTACACCCGCCCTGGGGTGGATAGTTTGCATATGTAAGGGAGAGGAAGAGGGTGCTTCTGGCTATTTCCTCCCTTGTGTGTGTGTGTGTGTGTGTGTGTGTGTGTGTGTGTGTGTGTGTGTGTGTGTGTGTGTGTGTGTGTGCTTGCTGCTTTGGCTGTGTTCTGCCACCCTGAGTTATAGCTCTCTGCCATGTGCCAGTCTGCCTTGTAATCTACCAAGTATGGACTGAAACCTCCACAAACTGTAAGCGAAATAAACCTTTCCTTCCTTAATTTTGGGTGTCAGGTATTGTGTCCCAGCAATGAGAGAAAAGTAACCAAGACAGAGGTCTCACTCTCAGAGTCTGAGATAGCTTCCAAGGCCCTTCTCCTTAGCACACCTCAAGTCCAGTTTCACCCTCCAACCCCCACCCCCGCCCCCTCGGCCTCTCTGTCTTGTACTGTGTGGCCTACAGTCTGCTTTTTGGTTTTGTTTTGTATTCTAGTTTTGGGGTTATTGTTCTTATTTTTAGACAACATCATGAGCATTTCCCCCTGGCATGAATATCTCTTTGAAAACAAAAAGGATTGCATAGAACGGATGGCCAAGCATCTTCTCCCTATGTTTTTCTGTTTCAAGTAAGAGTATAATGATCATCTATGTGCCCAATCACTAGCTGAGTTGTAGGATTTTTTTCTCAGATAGATCTTTAGAAGGAGAACATTTTCATTATCTCAGTCACTACAACCAAATTCCTCCTATAGAGGAATAGAAATCAAAAGTAACCCATTCTCTTTACAAGGATCACTATGAAACACATCAGGAATGGAAGAACCAGTTAACAGACCATCTTAACAGCCCAAACATGAGACAATGATAACCAGGAAGGGCAGTTTTGGTGGGGAGCTGGAGAGGAACAAGCAGGCGTGAGAGACAAGCCAGAGACAGAGAAGCTAGAAAAAGCTGCATTGAACTCAGCAGGAGATGGTTTTCCTTTTTCTCAATGCTCCTGGGAATCTCTATATCAGGTTTTGTTAGTTTAGTGGAGAATTTAACAAAGCTTGACCATCTCCCTAGAGAGGCTTCACCAAGGGCACCAAGAGCAACCTGGAAGCCTCAGGAAGGGAAATGGGGCTACTGGCATCCTAGGCATGATGAGCTGCCACTGCAGTGTGCTGGTAAATGTGGCCACAATCCTCAGTAGCCATCCTTCCATGAGGCCCTATTCCTCTGCGAGTAATGGTTATGACAGGAATGAAACCTTATGAGGCGTGGTGGCACACTCCTATAATACTAGCACTCAGGAGGCTGAGGCAGGAGGATCACTGTAAGTTTGAGACCAGCCTGGGCTACAGCTTGAACTCAAGGCCAGCCTGAACTGCATAGCAAGACCCTTCCTCAAAAAGACAAAAAGAAAAGAAAGGAAGAAAAAGGGAATAAAAGCTCACTAGCTGGGCATGGTGGTTCAAGCCTGTAATCCAGGCACTCTTGGAGGCTCAGGCAGGAGAGCTCATGTTTGAGCCCAGTCTGGTCAATTTAATAAGACCCTGTCTAAATAATAATAATGATGATGATAACTCACATGTATGGCACCCCTGTTATGTGCTGTGTCCTGTGCTAAGAGCTTTACATCAGTTAACTCAGTACTCCTGACCCCACTGCTCTCCGGTGCTGCTCCACAGGTTTGGGATTCCTATTGAATTAGCCCACAGGCTTGGGGTTGCTTACTGTGTTGAGACAGAAAGATAGCTGAATAGAAACCCCAGCACTCACCTTATTCTCCATCTCCACCTGCTCCTCCACACGAAGAGTCAAAGTAGCCAGTGCATAGCAACATGCTGAGGACAGTGACTGCAGGAGAAAACTAGAATTCAGTAGGAGAAGAGTAGAAATTTATAAAGCCCATAGACCTTGGAGAGCAGCATAGGAGGGAAAAGAAAGCAGCCCAAAACCTGCCATCCCAGCTCCACAGAAGGGAGAGCGGTTTCCCCTCCACAGGGTGAAAGAGAGGAAAAGGTCCCAGCACACTCTGTCAGAGCAGTTCTGGTGATCGTAGCTGTTGTAAAATTTCACAAGTTCCACAGCCTTACAACTTACACAAAAGAAACCTGAACTCTGCCCAAGCTTTAGAAAATGAATTCATCTCTTAGAGAACCCCTACAGTGCTGTAGACAGGAGGCATCATGAGAAGGGATCTGTTATCTGAATTTAGACCACTCTGTAGGTCAGAAAGCCCTACATGTTCCCATCCCTGGGATTCACAGACATCCCGCTGCACTGGGTTAGTGGGCGGCTGCCTCACCACGCACACTCAGCTCAGTAGAGTAAGTGACACAAACCTGCAAAGCTGGCTACACAGAGGGAAGAGAGGGCTGCCCTGAATAAACAGGGTTGGAAATCCTGACTGAGACAGGAAACCTGGCCAGACTTGTACGGACATGGACTAATATGCAATGACCCTGTGGTTCCCTCCAATCCTCTCCCAGCATGTTGCTGGGTACCTACCACTAACAAGTAAGGAAAAAAGTACCTCCACTAGGATCTCGCCCAGAAAGGCAGACTGTGGAGGTCTCAAGCAATATCATGGCGCTGACTGTTGAGAGCACAGCCTGCTGCCTATAACATGGCAGGGAAAGAACTCCCTGGTACTATAGAGTTCT